CAGCAACTCACCCTTGTTGGGTTTGGATGACACAGGAAGCTGTGCCAGTAAGTGTAATTAAGCAAATTGAGCTGGCACCCACAGTGTGGTTGACAAGCCCAGCAGTTGTTAACCAAGCTGGGGCTTGTGCAAACTGAATCTACAGCTCATTGCAACTAACAGGCAAGCATCGAAACCAGATACATTTGGGCACCTGCCAAAGTTCCACACCCCAACAGAGGCCTTTCAACACACAAAAGCACACACGGCATTTTTCCCCCTCTTGGCCACTGTACTCTGCTCATTCAGTCACCTCTCTCCCTGGCCAGACAATGGTGATCCTGAAAAGCAGAAGCGAGAGGTGATGTCAGCTCACTGCCTCTCTGCTGTCAAGCAAGTGATAGCAATAATGAAGAGGACAAATGTGTGTTGAGTGTGTTCTCAGTTGTGAAGCTGAGATTTTGGCTTTAAAAGGCAGTGGAACCCATCCAATGTAAGATTTGCACCTAACATTCTCCCGGATCAACTGCTGTAGATGGGTGTACATGACATTGTTTCCTTTAAATCAAGTATGTACCTAGAGTTATATACATGCACACCTCTGCCCTATTTCAATCAACATTTCATGGATGATAGTTATTCTAAATTCATCTTCTGGAAACAATTATACCAAAAGCCATTTATATTGGCAGCGAAATTAGAAGACCATATGCATTCCAGTTTGATTAATAAGCTATAAAAGAGAGTGCTCCATAATCTTACATTATAATATTTTATCCATAATGTGTGATAAAACAAAGTGCTGAAATTTCCTTTTTCCTTTATGCTTTTTCTTTAAAAAATTGCCCTGTAATTGATGCTATCTGTGTTGATAGTACTGTTATTTATTATTTCGCAAAAGTGTTTCATCTATATGCCTGATTTTTAAATTAACCAGTTGAAAGGAAAAAGAAGATCTTGCAACAAAAGACTTTTGCTTCTGAAACATATGCCTTATAAAAGACAGTGGAGTATCCTGAAATGTTAATTCTGGGTTATCTCCTATTACTTCTAGATTAAGTTAGCAATTTTATTGGCTTCTTGGTATTCAGCATGTATGGGTTATATAATTAATGCCTAGGAAAAGCATGCAACATACACATAAGGATTTTTATTATAAAATGCAATGGGTTTTAATATTGTTTTGATATCTTTGCCAGGATTTTGTCTAATTGCATACTTTTAGTGGCAAATATTAGCTTGGATCATGAACTTAAGGCAGACTATAAAATAGCCTGTATTTGAGGCCACTGCAAAACAAGAGTACCAACTACAGATACTTTGTTCTTTACTTGGGAACTTTTGGTTATTGTAGGGGAAAAGCAGCAAACTTAAATTAGTCTTGTTGCTAAATAAACAACAATAGATCTATCCGTATGCATAGTTAATTTTAAAAATCCAGAATTCCTATGCTATGAGATTCTAGGTGATCAGCATCTTTAACAGTACATCCACATTTGTAAAATCTATCAGATTTCTGTTGGTGCATTCATTATGAAGTTGGAGACCCACTGAAAATCAAGTGAGTGAAGCTTGTCATGTTCAGTTGCTCAGTTCAAAAGCCACTACAGCCAACTGAGATCTAATTCTTCTTTCTGGACCCCAAACCTCTGTTTTCATGCCTCCCCTTCATACTGCCCTGGGTCACTCTTGACCCAGGATCATGACCATTCTGACTGGTATTTGGGCCACTGCCACCGCCTCTCTGCACCATTATTCCCTCAGTTGTAGGCACTGGGAAATGGAAGGTGGTAGTTATACTAAAGACAAGGTATCTTTATATATGAAGATTTTTGCTGGCATAAGGTTCTGATCTGTCTCCATTATCTGGTTCCCGGAAATGTAGCAATATGAGATTGGTCAGAAAAAGCCATAGCTTTCTGGGCTCCAGATCCAGAATCCTGTTGCTATTCTAATTAAGTACCTCACTGAAGCACACAAAAGCAGGAGAAGGGGCTCCAAATGGAGAAATAAATCAAAAGCTTCATGCTATTTCATATATGCAATTAAAAATCTAGGTAAGTGCCAGGCTAATTCATGTACCATCCAGGGAAAGCAAAAGATCTTCTAGATAAACATCTGCCGGTGGAGAGGCACTTTTTTTTTCAACCTGAGGGAACAGCGAGATAGCAACAGCAACAATCAGAATGTGGAAGCAGAGACCAAGTGGCCAGTGACACAAGCTGAAGGAGGACTGACCCAGAGCTCTGTCACAAAATCCAAGCTGTCTTCAAATTCCTGAGCCTGGGCCCTCCAAGAATGCAACTTTTAGACTCAAGGCCTCTGAGGGTCCAGGAGCTTCATGTTTCTCTGAGTCCAGCTGCTGGTTCAGGCAGTACACCCAGTGAGAAAAGATGGTGGAGTGCTGGTCTCAAGGTTTAGTAGTAATCTAAGTGTCCCCCACATGGTTTAGAATGCCCTGTATCTCTCAAGAATGGGGCAGCACGAGAAGGTTTTGTTCAGGGCTAAGAGGCTCATCTCATCTCCTCCCTGGTCTCTGTTTAAGCTTCTGAAGGACCCATTTCTGGTGGCCTTCATTTTCTGAAGTCCTCAGTATAGCCGGCAAAGAACCAGAAATAAAACCAGACTTTGAAACAGTTATGACTAGAGCTCAACTTGGGCAATGCCTCATTCAGTTAGAACCACACAAGTTGGAGGGGATGGCCACCTTCTTGCCTTGTCCCCATCAACTGGCCCTGCTGCCCTCAAAACTTTGCCTGTCTGGAACAGAGAACTTGGTCTACCCACAAGGGCCCCCCAAAGCTCTTAAAGCCCTGTCTGTGTAGGCCTCTTGGCCATGTGGCGAGCCTACAAGGATGTGCCAGAGGAACTGGTGTCAGCAAACACAGCCCTGCTCATCGCCTCATGTGATTGGGATTGGGCCCCAAATAGGGCTAATGAACACTTTGCAGCTATGTATACTATTGGCTACTTGGAGGACTCTGAAAATTCTATCCATTTAATTTCCCCTTTTTAGCACATGGCCCACCTTGGCTTATGCAGACCTCAGATAATAGAATTAGTTAAAATGTGTTATTTGGATGTCTGATTTAATTATCAGTTAGAATCCCCAAAGAGACTTTGTTCTTCCAAACATGTTTCTTCATGTTCAGCAATTTTGCAGTTAGGTTTGTATAAATCCAGTGCCAAGAAAGAAGGAAAGCAAGCAAGCAAGCATGCAAGCACGCTTTAATGTATCAAACTTTGCATTATACCTTTTCCATTTTTTAAAAAAGGTAACTGAGAAGTACAAGTGCATTTCTCTTTCTAACAAGGATGGGTTTTCCATAGGTTGGGATAAGGGATTATTTATCTAAACAAAGTTTATATTGCTTAGAGATAGCCTCAGCTGATTGTGTTATACAGTTACCTAATGTGAAAGGAGCATTCAGGTTTTCTTTTGTTCACTGGCTTTGCTAACATTCCACAAACTTTCATCTAAATTTTGAGAGAAGAATGAAGATGGCTGCCTGAGTTCCAGGAATGTTTAGTTTTTTTCTGGGGAAGTAGAGATGTATTTGATATTAAGAAGCAGCATGCTCTCTCCCCACCTTTTGTTCCTATCTTATTTTTTGATGTTTCTGACCTCCCCCCCCCCCCCCAGAATACTTCAGAATGACACTGTGGTGTATGTGGGCGAATAGCAGAAGACCTCTTGGTTGCTTCTGTCACTATTGCTTGTGGGTTTGGGTCAATGGTTGTGACAGTACTGAAAATTAAACTAAAAACAAAAGAGGAAGCACTCCCTCATCTGCTTTCTGCTCTCTGCCACCACAAACCGTTCAAAAACTAACTTCCCTGAAAAATCTCCCAAATGCTCTTCCCCTCCCAATTCCCCTCCCAGTGGGGCAGCATATTTGCCTGGAGGAGCGTTTGAGACTTCTAAAAACAAAATGATGTCTATACATATGTCTTGACAGTATCCCATATATTTGGCCATTTTACTTTCTCAAGCAGCATTACATTTAAAAACTGAACCTAATGAAATTCATACTTTTTCACCATGGGAAAGTGCATTTTTTCTACTTCCATGGTTTCATTTTAAAATGACTTGAACCACCACAGTAACTGCTACAGAATGCTGGTCAATCTTATGTCTTTAGTTTTATATTAATATTTTAGATTCCGTGTGCAAAGACTGAAGGCTTAAGGGAAAATGATAGATAATAGCGTATTTCTTGAAGATAGATTTAGCTTACAACATAGTACCCTGGTAAAAAATTTCCTTCTTTAATTACATTGCCCACTATTGTTTTCAATATATGCTAGCAATAATCTATAAAACTGTACCTATCTCTTATGTAGGTCACAGATACAGACACAAACTCTTGTATGGTATAACAGACTCTAATAACCAGATATCTACCTATATCTTCAGGTATTATTTCCTGTAAATAAAGACTTCATTATAACAGTTACTTCTTGCTTTTTAGTTTAATTATGTGCTACTAAAACCGTGCTTGTTCTTTTGTTCCATTTCCTCTCTTTTCTGATATGTTTCTGAATAAATAAAAATGACTCCTTTAAAATAGTTTTGAATATTTTATTCTTTCTCTCTTCTACAGAATTTAGTACATATTCACAGAAAATACCTTTAAGGAACTCATAGTTATTATTAGTATGTTCCAAGAGATGTGGGATAATTGATAAAGCACAACCATCTATTATCCTGCAAATCTTTAAAGGATAAATATTATTGTTATTAGAAAATTTTTGTTAAAAGAAAAATAATTAAGTTCACTTCAGAGGTACATCTTGTAATTCTTAAGCATTAACTAATAGTTGAGGCTCCTGGAGTGTTTCTATTATTACCAATATGATAAACATGTTTACATGGAACAGAATGCTCCAAGTACAGCTGATGTAGTACAAAATAAGTTTGCCAACTGGAAATTCTGATACCTTGCAAGAGTATCCAGATGAATATAATTGACAACAATAGTTTCATGGCCCTCAATCATCAATTTCCTCTCCCCATACAGATCTTAAGCTAATGGGTTGGATCCAAAGTTTCCCTTCTTCCGACGGAGGAAGCTTTCCTCTGACAGAGGAAGAGAATAAAGGTAATAAAACTAAGTGAATGTAATAAAGATAACTAACATTTCTCTGAATTTATTTAACTTTTTAAAGCTAGCACCTATAATCTGTTGTAATCCCTGCTGTGGCAGGGTTGTTTAAAATAATATTTTGTTCTAAACGCCAAAAAAGTAAACCTAGAAAATCCTTTCTTTTCTCTTATTCAAGAATATCATGTATTTTTTATCCTTGTCTTGTTCTGGACCTGTTTTAGTTTTGCCCCTAATCTATTTATTTCTAACTTAGACAAATGCTCTTTGTGTTATAACTCCATTAAATTTTTGGTCATATTAAGTCTATCTCTTCCTGAAGGTGTGTATATATATATATATTTTACATAGTTTATTACAATTTAATCCTTATTCATCCATGAAGTACAGTATTCAAGTCAACACTAATTACCCCAGTGTAAGCAAATAGAACAGAATGTACAGAGCTTTTAGTGGCCCATTTTGCACAATCAGACAACCTGTTGTTAAAGTATGTTTTTTTGTGAATGCTCCTGCCTGCTCACCTGTGTCTACCTTTTGAAGGAATTCAGGAACACCCCACTTCTAGGTTGTTGTTACATTTGGCAGACATAACAGCCTCAATTTGTGAGTTTATTTGTTTAACCCAAAACAATTCAGAGTGTCAGGTTTGCATATCACAACAATAATCCAGGAACATGGAATTCTTGTTTTGGAAAGCTGATTCAATGTAGAAGTGCTGAAATAGCAGGATACAGCATATTCACTTGGCTTTGAATGGACAGACCAATTCCTGGGTTGTTTAATCTTGGAATTTTCATTCTGTGTGAACCCAGTCAGTGATTTCAAAGCAGAAGATGTAGAGGATTCCCCTGCTTCCTTTAGCAGTAATACAATATTTCAATTTGTTCTATCTCAACATGGTCTACAGACATTTCCATATGTGAACATGTGAGAAAATTGAGGTTAATCATATATGGCTTCTTGCAAAGTATTTCCTAACTTATTTTAGCATGATATCTTAATAGATTCAACTAAATATTACAGTTAATTGATCTGAGCTATTTACTTTATTTACTTGATAGAATACACTCCAAGATCAGTGGTCCACACCGTCAGTGTGGTCAGTTCTTTCCATGCCAGCTGGTGACTTTCAGAGCTGGTGCAGGGATGGTGCCTTACTGGGGGGCTGGAAAAGGAGGAGCAAGGCACTGCTGTCCTCCAAGAAATCTCAGCACTGCCTCAACCTCATCTCCTTATGAGGAATGGAAAAACATGTAGGTAGCCAAAATTGGCCATCTGAATGCTTTGGAGGGAAAAGGGAGTAGAAAAGGAGTAGAACCAAAGCCCTAGTCTTTGCAATCCTTTCACATTCCTTTGGATGTCATTCTCCTCCAGTTCCTGGCAGGCATGTCAGATAATACCTTTAAGAAATTAACCACATTGTTACTGAGGTGTGTTTTGGTTTTTGGTATCCAAGCATGAAAAAATAACAGTCAAAATAACTTAGTGTCATCTTACTCTTGCTTTCTAACCAAGAAACAGAGGTAGAAATTAAACATGGTAAGAAAATAAGCAAGTGTATTCATATTATTTCTTTGCAGCTAAACCAGGGCCTTTTCCCCTAGCACAAATCAATTGATGATTTTCTGACTTTGGGGACATTTTCTCTCCATTCTCTCCTAAGGCTTAGTTACTGGTCATAAGGTCTTGAAGCTATAATATGCCAGTATTCTTAACCCAACTCCCATTTCCTTCAGCCCTACAACCACTGCAATGGAGTTCCAGAGAAATGTAGTCTACAAGTAGCTTAGCACCTTTGATCTAAATAAACATAACTCAAATTCAAAAAGTAGTGAGAGAATAACTAAATACACTCAATAGTTTGTTTATATTCATGGACACATATGAAAATATACGTACCTGGAAATAGGTAACTAATAACTAAATGTAGTTCTTGGACCATAACTAAATGACCTAATAAGGTCTTAACTTATTAGACCATGACTAAATGTAGCTGTATTATTTCTAAAACATGTCATGATAAACTAGGTAGACACTTTTCATTTCATTATAAGCTAACAGCAGAATTATATCAGTTAGTAGAATAATACTTTCAAATATTGTATCAGTCATATTCAAAAATTTTAACTTCATTTATTTTTAATTTCAACATTCTTGAATTGACCTTCTTAAAAAAAGCAAGTCCTAAAATAGTGGCCTAGACAGTTATCTTTAACTGATTTATACTGAATGAACAGCATATAACAATATCTTTACTAATACTGTCTGAGTTGAAGAAAGCAGGAATGGTTTGTCTGTTATCCATGATTTTTCCTGGTGCCAATACAATTGAATCACCAATGGACACATATCTAAATTAGGGTTTTATAACTTTCAGAGAGGTATCAATAAATAAATGTGCAATCATTATCTTCATTCATGGAATATTACAGGGTTATCATACATTTGTAACCCATCCTTTGCTTTTCCACACTTTTCCCATCTTTATACAATAAGATAACATAGATAACACACACTGTATAACTGTAAGATAACACACAATGGCCAGTGATCCTTAGTGTTAGAACCCCTCTTTCTGGAAGCACTCACTATGTTCTGGCTTAAGTCCCATTCCAAGGATACCTCCCCCACCAAAATGAGCCCATAGCAGAGGTTGAATTCAAGCCTCAAGTTCCAAAAAGACATATTTATTTATTACATTTCTATACTGCACCATAGCCCACTGGGGTGTCTGGGGGCTTTACAAATTTGAACAATACATAGCAACAATAAAATAATCATATTTAAATAATCAAAAACAATAAAACAAATATAACACAGGTCAACCAACCACCTACCTCAGTTAAGATGAAATTAATGCATGGCATAGCTGCAGATATAATGAAAGCAGAATAAAAACAAATCTTATCTATTAAAATACCTGGGAAATAACAAAGTTTTTACCTGACAGCAAAAAGAACCCAAGGATGGCACCAAGCAGACCTCCTTTGGGACAAATATAATATTTGCCTGCACAAAGGACACAAAATCCTAGTGGTGCTCAAGAAATCTTCCTCATTCCACAGGACACACAGTCTTCAGACAGTCAGTTTATTGCATTTAGCCATAGGCCGTTACAAGTTAACAAGGTAATACACTGAATTAACAAATAGAACCATAAATCAAATGTATTAAAACATAATGCGAAAAGACAGACCAGGTATGATACTAAAACACAGCACACACAGGTAAAACTACTAACAGTCACCTACACTGTTCCTTTCTCTCCAACTACACCGAACAAATGTATTAGTCTTTCAGTTGCCCAAGGACCTTTTGTCTTGTTTTGTTTTTACCAAATTTGTATTAGGACACACTTTCTCTGTAATGTTCATAAAACTTTATCTGAAGAAAAGTGGGCTCACATGCTTCCATTTTTAAAGTAGGGAGAAATAGGATGAAAGACCTTGGCCTCTCTGATCCAATTGTGAAAACTTTCTCTTTACTTTAATCTGAAGTTGCTTTTTTATTGTTTATAGGTAGAGCCATCCTGAGAACAAAGTTATGGGTGACCTGTATAAATGCTGTAAATGCATGAAATAACATACATACTGTAGAAAAAGATAAGTCAGCTCACCCCTGCTTGCCTTTAATTAATCTTTAGGCAACCTAACCTCTTTCCTACGAACTCAGGTCATTCCCTGAGCCAACCAAGGCTTAGGAAACAAGCAAACAGCAAACACCCCCTCCCAGCCATCTTCAAAACACCTACTTCTCCCCTGGTTCCATTCCCCATCTCGCCATAGATGGCAAGAAGCAAGAGTTACCTGTCTTCATCCCAGCCTCCTGTTGCAATAGTTTTCAGGAGGAAAGACCCACTGGCACTTGAGATGTGTAGCTTTTCCCATGTGCTGCTTCTGTTGCTTTCCCCCTTCCAAAGCACACATTTCTGGCCAGGTTAGGAGAGGGGAGAGAAACATTGCAGAGGTATGTTTGGAGGATAGTGAAAAATGGTGACCAAGGGGAAGGGAAGCCCAGAATTGCTCTCCAGAGAAGACTCAAGCATGTTATAAAGCTGACTTCTCCTTTAAGGTGGCTTTCCAAAGCCCCACAAGTACTTTTCTGAGCCCTGCTCAAGAGGGTTTCAATAGAATCTTCTGCACACATTTCTTTAAAATGCCAGTGAAATGTTGAGAAATGTGCTTTTGGTTTGACATTTATGTCACAATTTCACTATGGTTTGTATGGAACTAACACAGTGGTATTGGTAGGGGGTTAGTTTGTTTTAACTTGCTTTTCCCCCCTTTCTTCTTCTGACTTTCAGGAATTTACTGCAAGGGTTGTTTTAATATATTCACCACTCAGTCTTATCAGCAGACTTCCTTTTGGGCTATGTGCACATCCCTATGAAGCAGCTGTGTGATAACGGCACTTTGATGTTTATTGGTGATCATATTTGGAAATCTCTGATAAAGCCACAATTAATAGTTTTGCTGTGGAAGGTTTGGAATGTATTGACATACATATTTATTACAGATACTGATGTGAAATAGTTGGCCTGGGATAATTAATGCCTGCATTCACATTAGCTGCACAGGAACCAATTAGTATCTGCTGACGAGGCTCTTACATTTCTGCAGCAGATATCATGCATAAACATGGCATAAAAACCTGCATGGAAGCTAAAGCAGAATTTTCAGCTATGTTCCACAAAATGATGGAAGCTAGCATGGTTGCCTTTAAGCTAGCCTAGTCCTATTCAGCTCAATGAGCTAAGCTCTTTGAAAAGCATGTGGGCTTTTGCTGACTCAAAGAGATTTGTGGATTGTACCCTAAAAATTAATCCAGTTACTTTTTACCAAGGTCTTAACAGCACTTCATGGTTGCTGGAGGGAACTAAGAGCAGACTTGCCAGCAGAATAGTAGGCAAGATAGGACTATTGACTCCGGTTCACACATTGTTGAGAATTCAGCAAAGTAAAATGCAGCATGCCAAGTCTTTGGAGCACCTGTGC